GATGACTGGAGTAGGGTGAAGAAAGCAACTGGAGGTAGAAGGCAATACTGCCTTGTGCTGCATAGAAGGGTTACTTCAAAAAAATAACCCGTCATCAGATTTAAGAGTCATGATGAAGAGCTTTATAGATAATTGCATAGAGTAATGTGAAAAATACTATTGTTACAAATTAGTAATAGTTGTGTGGTTAGTTAATTAGATTTCTTAATTTATTAGTTACTTAGTAATGCGTCGCATAAGCAGTAAACATTGTAGTCTCTTAAATAAGTTACTCTCAATCCTGCAATCTAAGAGGAAAAATGGGACTGGAACTAAAAAATACGTACTAAAAAAGTATCCCACGAAGTAGTAAATTACATAGGCAATAGCCTGAAATTATGACATGAAACTGAAAGGTGCATCATATTAAGCTGAGGAAAGAAAAATCACATATTAAAATCAGGTCTAGCTAGCCAGGCAACAACACAGCAGAAAAGTTTATGGGGATTACGTTACATCACAAACTAAAAAGACTCTAATGGCATTACAAGAAGATATAAAACCTGTAACAGATTTTTTTTTCTTTTTAAAAAGGCAGAAGTGTTGTATACATGTGACATTAAAAGGAATCAATCTATGCTATTTGGCTCAAATGACGTCTCACCTAAAATACTATACGCAGTTTTGGACAGAACCCCTTAAAGATAATGTAGGCAAAAGGCAATCCAGAGGAGATGAGAAAAATAGTAAGAGGTTTAGAAAACATAAATCCAAGCCCTTCAGATTTTTTTGTGAGTTATTTAGTCAAGAAGAGACTTTTTGTAAAGCATAATAGTTTTGCAAGTTGTAAGATTAATGCTGTTACTGCTGTAAGGATCAAGAGACATACACAGGATATGGTTTACAGGTAAACATCCTTTATTAGCCCAGTTAACGTATGGAAGGGGGAGCAGTTTGTAGGCAAATGACTATGAAAAAGCCTTTGGGCATCTTGCCTTCTCCTTCCCTCAGCTAAGTATGTTCGGTTACTAAAGGGCTATTCTTCTACCTGCAACAGCATGTATTTCTGATTTGAAAAATGTTTTTGCAGAGAGCACAGCAATCATCTGTCTTTTGCAAAGAGGCCTTAAAGAATAAGAAAACAAGATCTAGCTGTCAACAACAATACTTTAGGCTGGATATTAGAAAACCAATTTCTAGCTGCTTGGGAACTGAAACAACAGAGGAACAAATTAAGTCATGAAACTGCAATAATTTACTTTGTTTGGGATACTAGGGATAGACTACACAAACATTCTCCATCATGGAAAGTGCAAGCATATTTAACTTCGCCTCACTGACGGCAGTAACAAGATAGATCACCTCCCAATTCTATGATACAATACAATACTCAACTTTCTAAACAGACATTGGTGACGAGTGTCATCTAGTGGTCATAATTAAGAAAAAATACTGGTGATAATCTCAAATGCAAGAAAAAGTAGCAATGAAATTTTAACAATACTTTCTAATACCTAGTCATTCATTACTTGCATTTACTGATTTTAATACACATTAGAATAATTATAGATTTAAATGCTATACTAAATGTTAATATTATAGGACCCATTAATCAACCAAACTAACTTTCCTTTTCTTTATATAGTTTTATAATTTTACAATATTTCCGTATGCAAAAAGTACAGAAAAGGGGAGAACTAGGAACTACTTAGGGAATAACAAACCCAGCAACAGTACATGCTGGAGGCTGACTGGCTGGAAAGCAGTTTTGAGGAAATGACCTGGTGGTCCTGGTGGACAAGTTGACAATGAGCCAGCAACGTGACCTTGTGGCAAAGGCCAGTGGTATCCTGGGCTTCATTAGGAGGAGTTTGCCAGCAGGTCGAGGGAGATGATCCTTCCCTTTCTCCTCAGCACTGGTAAGGCCACTTCTGGAGTGCTGAGTCCCGTTCCGGGCTCCCCAGTATGAGAGAGACATGGAGCTACTGGAGATTAAGTCCAGAGAAGAGCCACTAAGATCATGAAGGGACAGGAGCATCTTGCATATGAGGAAAGGATGAGAGTTGGGACTGTGCAGCCTGAAGAAGAGAAGGCTTAGGGGGGATGTCATCAAGGTGTATAAATATCTGAAGGGAGGGTGTAAAGAGAACAGAGCCAGGCTCTTTCCAGTGGTGCTCACTGGACAGGGCAAGAGGCAATGGGCACAGACTGAAACACAGGAAGTTCCTCCTGAATGTAAGGAAACACGTTTTCACTGTGACGGTGACTGTGCACAGGAACAGGTTGCCAAGGAGTCTGCATCCCTGGAGATACTCAAAAGTTGACTGGACATGGTCCTGAGCAACCGGCTCCAGGTGAGCCTGCTTCAGCAGTGGGGTTGGAGAAGATGACCTCCAGAAGACCCTTCCCACTCTGATTCTGTGAAAATGCCCTCTTTGTTGAAGACAAATACAAGGGGAAAACTGACTAAATGCACAAACAGGAAAATGTCTTTTCTCTACAACAAATAGTGATATTGTACGTAAACAAAAACTATTTTCCCATCGGAAGTCTGATTTTTAGACCGCAACTATAAGAAGTAAGGCTTCTTGCATTTAGCTGTCTCCTACACATTTTAAAAAAATTGGTAAACTATTTTGCATTTAATTTAATTAAAGGATTACAAAGAACAGCAATTTTCCCTCCACCTCCTTCCTTCCTCTGCTTCCTCGGAGCTATTTTCTTATCATCCATATGAAGAGTGTAACACTATTATAAGCAAATTGGAGGAGAAAAAAGAAGGCGAGATGGTCAAACAAGTACCTTACACTCTGGTTGAATGGATAAAGGTCGGTATCTTCCCCTTCTCCTGCGCAGGTCCATCTGTAGGTGGGGGTGTACATTTTTGGGGAGGGGAAAGTAGCACGTATGTATACATACGCTAGCAACACCAGCATAATCAAACTATAAGGACTTGTGTTGCTCAGCAGAGCAAATTCCTGATAACAAGCAGAGTGGCAGGGCTCTAGCTATGGGGACCAGGAGCTAGCTGGGGGTGAGGAGTGTCTGCCTGAGGTATGAGATCTGGAGGGCAGCGTTAAGAGAACTGTGGCCGGGGCTGGCACAGCCGGAGTGTACAGAAGGTACAAATGTTTTGGAGAGTGTACAGAAAGAGACTGTTGTGGTGAGGGAAAGATGGGTATATATGTTCGGAGCAGGCAAGAAGACAGGGATATATGTACATGTGTGAATGGGGAAGGAGGAACAGGACGCACCTAAACCACTGGAGAACCACTGAAAAAGAATGCCGTAAGCTAGTAGTAGCAATCCTACTGAGAAACTCTGCCCTAACAAGCAGTTCTGAAAATGGATGATGATCACATATATTCCTTAACAGGAGCCAATTCACCTTTTTACTTTTTTTAACAAGTTTTACTTTTATTAACAAGTTTGGCACTTGCTTTATTTTTTTTTTTACAACCAGCTATATTTAAGGGCAAACTCAGACTGCCTTTTTAAAGGTGACAGCTCATATGTAGCTTGTTTGTGGGAGAAATATCTAGGGCTGGCTAAAACCAAATGTATTACCTCTCAGTAAGACTGAATGAAACCAAACAGCAGCTGGATTATCTGCTTTCCCAGTATTTCTACCCCTTATTGTAAACAGAAATGGAATAATCCACTTTATAACAAAGCGCACATGGTAGCACTTAACTGTTTAACTTGGACAACAAAGCAACTATGTGATACACATAGGATATCATGTACACGGGCTTTCAGAACTCTTTTTTCAGAGCCTTGTAAGGAGCAGAACTTAACAGTACATGTAAAATATTTTTAGGGCTTTTAAAAGCATAACAACTGCACACAAATATAATTCCCATATATCTACCAAAAATGTATCTAATTAAACTATCATTGGAACTTTTTTTGTTTCGGGTATGGTAGAAGAACAATAAAGTAAACAGTGATGAAGAAAGAAAATAAACAATCACTCTCTGTTGACTTACCTTTAACGACAGGGAGCCAGCAAGAAAAAAGTGGTCCACATCAATGACAGAGGCGAGGAAGCCAGCCAGAGTGACTTCAGTGAAGTCACTTTTCTTCCTGAGTCCAATCACTATTGCCCAGGACCACACTCCTAGTATACCATGCACTGCATTATCAGAGAAGGCTCGGAGCCAGTCATTTTGCTGAATGAAAGAAAACTGCAGAAGTCTGTCTGCTACAAAGCAGAATATTCCCAAACCTAGACTAGAAATAACTGAAGCTGTGCTGAAAGTTTGGAGAAGAGCATGGGCCTTTTCAGTCTCAGATGCCATGGCAAAACCCATGTCACAGCATACAAAATGTCATCAGGATATACACTGTGCATTGTCCTTTGTATCGTCAGTTGTTCTGTAAATGTCAGAGAACAGAAAGAAAACTTTTAAAGAAAAAAATCCATTAGCACAAAGCATTTGTCATCACAGCTATAACTGAGCATAATTTCAATAACTGAGCAAAAACCAATTTCAATGTTTGCATTTAATATTCCCAGGGAATCTTTGATTTCAGTTAAGTTAATTTGTCGACTTGGAACACTACAGCGCTGAATTAAAACACTTGTCCTGTCTTAATTAGAACAAGCACCTTTGTAACGTGGAAAGCTCTAACTCCACTTTCTGAAATCTTAAATATCACAAAATAAGTTGTAACATGTCTGTGATAATACACTGAATATGTTTCAAGATTCCTCCTGGGCTTAAATACATGATATTCATCAAATTAAATCCTTTACACTGTAAGAACAACAAAAGATTCAGTTTGGAGGATTCTTAGGACTGATGCTCAAAAATCCCATATCTCTCTATGCAACAACTGTTAAAACTGAGTTTCTAATCTATAATCTTTTCATTTACATACTTTGTAAATATATGTATTATCACCCTGGTACCCCTTTCTGAGCAATGCCTTGTTTAGCTTGGAGACTGGCACGTAGAATAAGCATTAAGAAAACCAGAACCACTGAAGTATCTTTACTATTTACACAAAACCAACCATGCAGTCAAGCAGAAGTAACCAAAACTAACTCTTTACAGAGCGAAACTACATATGCTTTTCCTCGGTATGTGCTCCAGCAGCAAACTCTACTGTTACTTTCAGGACTTGTCTATTGCCTGCTACATTACCTTCGTAACAAGTCTTTTGGCAGGAAAAAAGAAAATTAACTAATCCCAGTCATTTTACTTTTCAAAAGTTGACTGTTGTAATTTGAAAATAAAGGCATTGTTACTAGCATTAATAATCACTTAAAAGTCCTTAAAAACTACTAATGTTCTGTAATTATGTTATGAAACCCTCTCGTACAAGGTGATTTCTTGGGAATAATTATTGTTCTTAAATAACTGCTTGACACCTCAAAAGAAATTCCAAAAATAATTCAAGATCTTAAAGACATCCCCACCCCACTCCCAAGAAGCAATTATAGGACACCTGGATTATAAAGACAGAGCACTCATTTCTGTGATAACATTAAAAAGAACGCTTTTGAAATAAAAATCCTCATATAAATGATGTATTCCCTAGCTTCGTTAAGTTAAACACACTGAAAAACAGTCTTTGAAGGACAGTATCAATTCTAACTGTCCCAGCTGTTATGCTTTTCTGTCTTTTTGGGGAGCCATAGAGATACACCACAGTTTCAAAGCCTACGTCCTATCTAAAAATGGATTCTTTCCAAGAGGTTGCTATTTCTGTGCAATACATTAAATCTTGGTAATTCTCCTTCTTACAGTTCCATCAGGTAAATTTTTATTCAAAATGGGCTTTTTATGAGTGTATTAGGCTTCCTTTAAAAATTAATAGTTCTAACAATGTTGACATGTATAGTTTATTACTTTAAACACATTATTGATTATAAGCCCCAGAAAATATTAAATGTTTCTTCTAGCTTATTTACATTCCTGTTTATTGCAGAATTATCCACAAGACATGACTACCAGCATTGATCTTTACAGAAAAAAAGCCCACAGAAGCATTTATTTGGAAAAGGTTAAAAAAAATAAAGAAAGCATGAATAATACATGGACCTTGCACACAGATGAAAAAAAGTGGGTCAAGTTTAGAGTCTGTTAACCATGACTATGCCTCTTCTGAATGAACATGTAGACACAAGTATTTTCTGAAACACCGGAACTGCCATTTCTGGTGGGTGACTTCAAAATATACAGTACATTTCTGAATAAATTCCACTTTAAGGAACCAATGGTGACTTCCTCACAAATGTTTGTTCTATATAACCATCATGTCAGATTGGATTTTATTTAAAATTACCATAAAATCTCTATAAGCAATCTGGGAAGAGCTGATGTAGCAACATAAATTTAAAAACCACACCAGTAGTCAGAATCAAACTTACCCTGGGACTAGGGGAACATATTTTTCATTGCAGTTGCCTTATTCCAGTAGGAAACGTGATCTATGCCTCAGCGTTGAGCCTCTGTGTTTTCTGAATCCAGTCATCTCAGTCCCATGCAGGAAAGACCAAACACCATTTGTTCCATTCTAAATAAATCAAACCAGGCAGCAGTAAGCACCGATACTACTCAAAGCTCTTCAAACTCTCCTCAAAACATACATGAAAACTGAATAGTCAAAAATACAGAAAGAAGCAACATCTTTTTAATGAATTCTTGAACAAATGTAATTGAGCTAAAAGCAACTACAGCTAGGGCTTAGAAGCTCTGTTAAAGAAAGCAGAGAAAAAAGACCATAAAACAAGAGAAAACCACAAATAAAGGTGGAATAAGATAATAATTAAAAGATAATAAAACCCTTGTCGTCAAATCAGAAAAGGGCACTTCCAGCTTTCTGGTTTAAGTAATTGCATTTCAAAATATAGAGAGATCTATTTTAAGAGATGTGTGCCTGAAAGAACCGTGTGCCTGAAAGACTCCCACCTAATGAAACATTTATGAGTCACATTCAGGGATCTCTCTTTAATTTCATCCCATCAATTAACGACCTTGGAATAGATAAACAGAAACCCATAAACCCAAATAGCAACAGAGGTTTGTGTCAGTTCTGTGGTAAACTTACACCGCTTTGCTACAGATATTATGAACATGTGCATAAAGTACACAGGAAAAGTATCACTACAGACTTAAAAAAATCCAAAATGAGTATGATTTGAGAATTATGGATCATGAGTGAAATAAAGGTAACAACGCCAACTGGAAAACAAGGACAATATGTGAGTGGCTGTCTTTGAGCCAGAATGAAGAACACAAGGCAAAAATGTGGCTTCAGATTACTCTTAGTCAAGAGCCGTGTCCGTGCATAACAGTTTTTTCTAAACAGCCTGTCTCTGCCATCTTTTATAGACAAAAATGACCGCTGGCTGTGTAAAAATCAAGTCACATTCCCAGGTACAACTGCGTAAGTATAAATATTCTGCAGATCAAGAGTGAAATCAGACTAGAAAAAGCAAAACTCTGTCCAACCAAAATAATCTCTGAAATTACAATTTTAAATATAAAACTAGAAACTGTATTTTTTGTGTGAAAAATAATGATTTTCAGACTGCTTACAAAATATCACTATAAAGTGTCATAGGTTCTTCTATCGTATAAATCTCACAAAGCATAGCTATGGAGCTTACATTATTGTTAAAATACAACAGTGGGAAATAGACGTATTACACAAGAATGCTTAAAAATCTATGGGTGGTCAGTCCAGTTAACATATTGAAGGAAAGATTTAGGTTTGTTTTACATAAAACACATGCACACAACAGCTGATAATCACTGCTTAGAGTTGTGATTTCTCATGACGTTTTTATATGAGATAAAGCATTATGTGTACTTTCCACCTATACCCACAAAATGCAATTTTGCTGATATATTTGATTTCATTTAAGGAAATTATAAAAATCATTTTAACAAATGTACAGTTAACATTGTAAATTACTGACACAAGAAGATATTTAGATCAAAGCTGTAAATATGCATTTGGGGAAACAGCTGACACTAAGAGGCCTTTCAACTCATCGTGTAAGAGCAAAACAAAAATCCAATGGCTAAAATTATAATTTAGAAATATTGCTCTCCGAAATTTTTGCCCCAGTTTTGCAAGAAGTTATCAGGTATACGAATTCATATAGGAATTTAATGCATAAAATTAGTAGAATTATGCACTTTATGCAAGAAGTCAAAAGATCGCAGTAGTCCCTTATAACTCTATGATCTCCTAAAAAAACATTATTTTATGTTAATTTATATGAAAAACTCCATAAAGTACAGTTACCATTTAAGACACAAGCTTAAACCTTTAATGTATTATCTCATGGAAAAGCAGATCCGAGCCTAAAACAATCTGTGAAGAACTGATAATGCAAATATTTTTGTGTCAGAAAATTATAATGTGTTATTGGGGCTGGAGGGTGGAAGGAGACTGAAGAGGAAAGAGGACAAAAGCATGCAAGAAATTGGTAGGATATTACCAAGATACTGAAGAAAAAACTGAATTAAACCCACAAGGACAAACAATCAAGCAAACCCCCCCATAAAATCAGGATTTAATTAAATTGTTTATTTCAGGAACCATAAATTGAAGTGTGAAAAGAGATACCAAGACGACAAAATGCAGACCTTCTCCTTCATGAGTAGTTTGGAACTGAGATGTACCTAAAAGAAAGAGTTGAAACAAATATCCTAAAAGTATTTAGTAATTAGAAACACACCACAGTACTATCCAGTGGAAGAAAAAATAATTTGTCATCCTAGATAAAAAAAAGGGAAGAAAAAAGCATGAGCAGTTTATGTATTACTCTAACTACAGCAGCATTCTGATCATAAACAGCTAATCCAATTTAAAATACAATCAGTATATGTAACTAAAGAGAGGGATGACAGAAAGACAGGCATGCGGCAGACAGACATGTAAAATTACAGAGATCAGCAACAATTTTTATGTCTTGAGGAAAGGGTATGCTTTGTCTCCGCACCCAGCACCAAAGCCCCCCATCAACCATCTCCTCAGTCATTAAGAAATAAAAATGTACTGCCATCTTTACCGCAAAAACGGCGCCAAGAGTGTTAGGGAACCTTACACGTAAGTGACTTGCCTGGCTTTAGGTAAAGCACCGCATTACCGTTTATGTTAAGACCCGACACGACGTATGGGTACCTATATCAACAAAACAGGAATTTGACGCTGACTCCTGTCAGACTGCTACGACACTATTCCCCCGCTTTAGCTTCTTCTCAGTAAACCCCACTGCATTGTAAACGTCCCGGGGTCCCCTCACCAACGGAACCCCGAAAACCCAACCCTGCGGCAGGCAGCCCGGAGACCTGAGGAGAAGCCCGTGTCTACCCGGCCCGGGCGGCGGCGGGCGGCTTCCCGCCTCCGA